AATCGTACAAACGATTTATTAAATCGTACAAACGTTTTCTTAAATCGTTCAAACGATTTTTAAAAAAAAATCTACATTGTTAAAATGGCACGAATACGCCGTCGTAGAAAATAGCTCTTCAGTGCTAATGTTTTGTTGATTTACCCGACTTTAAATAAATATTATCTTTATCTTATCTTTACCTGCTTTGTCAGGAGTGATCAGAAATACTTATTATGCAATCTAGCAATCTAATTATTTTTCACTTCTGATTATTGAACACAGATAATGTTAGATGGTTTTCATGGTGCCCCGCAATTGCATCAAGTTGAAAGATTGGGGTTCAATTACTTCTGGTCTTTTTAAAATATCAAATAGACGTTTGTCTTCTTTCCTCGCTGTTTAAACAAAGCAAAGGTAAGTAACCCTTAACAACTGATTTTTTTTCAGTGATCATTTATTGTGAAAGCTCGGTCTTTATATACTTTTCTTCACAACAAATATGAACATTTTCATGAAACTGTCCTATTCTAGTTGTTATAAAGCAGTGGACGAAATAAAAAAAAAATAGAACAAATTAAATATATGGATATAACAAACAGTATTCAAGTTCAGAAGTCTATTAAACAATACAAAATAGGAGCAGAGCAAACACGTGCACATCCAAAACATCAACGGTGGATCATGTGCTGTGGAGTAGTGAACACCCCAGCCGAGCGGTCACACCCACCGTGTGCTCCTTGTCATGAGTGGGAAATAACGGGAAAACCGCCACCAATTCAGTATATGATAGCCTAGCAATAAGTATAAAAAGCGTCAGCATTTGACTTAATGATAAATGCATTAAATGGTATTTGCTGACAAGGTCATTGTATTGATCTATTGATCACAGAACTTACAAAATGATGACTTTAAGAAGGATATGGAGATAACGAACAGTATTCAATATCAAAGTCCATAAAACAATATGAAATAGGAGCAGAGTAAACACATGACCTCCGAAACAACAGAGGTGGGATCAGGTGGGATGGAGGAGTGAGCATCCCTTGCTGACCGGTCACACCCGCCGTGTGCTCCTTGTCAGGATCGGGAAATAACGGAAAAATCCGTCGTCAATTCAGTGTATAAACAATGAACTAACAATTAGTTAGCTGCAGAACTGTAGCTTTCCGAAAAAATAAAAATATTTCAACAAACCGGAGAGCTACAGCCCCGCCCACTGTAAAAACTACATATTTATTGCTCACAAAGAAAAGCGCGCTGTTTCTCGATTTATTTCTGCATGGTTTTAAACTGTCATCTCAAAATATTACTAACCGTGTGTTCCTAACATATTCTTTCACTGTTTCCGCAACAAAACACACCTTTTGTTGTTAATCGCCCTCTTGGATCTGAAATTGAGATAATCGAAAATTTCGTCTAGGTTTATAATTTCATTTTGGTTTGTAAGATAATTCGGTCTAAAGCACTTCGTGCAGATGTCATCTATGAGAATGCTTTATATATAGGAGTAAGAATTTTTTAAAAAAAAATTTTGCAATTGAGGTAAGAATTTGAAAGAATTAATCCAGAACAAAGCTCTACTTTTTGTGCGCAATAAATATACAGTTTTTACAATGGACGGCACTGTAGCTCTCCGGTCTGTCATTTTTTTTTCGGAGAGCTACAGCTCTGCAATTGACGATTAGTTTGAAAAACAATAACAAGGCTGTTGATATTCTTGTTTCCACTGTTAGTCAATAACTTACCTTGTTTTATAAATTGGTCATACATGCTCTTGCATATCGATCAACTGAGAGATATAAACTCCGTATGAAGTTATAAATCGCTTCAGGGAAATTGACGATTGAAAAGTTAAAGTCATCTCATTTGTCATGAAGCTTGGTTTTTACATTAAGATTAATGTATTTTTCAAGTGAAATTTAATTTACCAGATTTGTCAGACTCTGTAGTATCTTTTATTTCGAACTCACCGGGATATATCGTATCGACGTAAGAAGGGAAATAACTATTGCTTATTGACAGGACGTCGTCGATATATCTAAATGTAGAGCTGAAGGTCACAGCGAGTGGTTTGAATTCTTCTTTTCACGTATAAACTTCTGGACAAAGTCTGCTTCAAATGAATACAAAAATATGTCAGCTAATACCGGGGCGCAAATGGTACCCATGTGAATTCCAATGGGTTGTTGGAAAACCTAGTGTCCTAAAACCACATTGATATAATCCGAAACTCAAGGATCTTTTTAAACAAATTATAATCTCTTCCTCGACAACTCCATTGCTTGATTCTCATGCTTTGCAAAACAAACTATTGTCGGTAAAGATTTCAGAATAATTATCTTTAAAGCTCTTCAATTTGAAATTGATATCATAAGAACATGTTTCACCACACAGCTCTCTATACACATACTAGTAATACAACCGTTTTATTTTTTGGTCTACATATAATAAATGAGACCGTCTTTTACAAATTTCATTTAAACACGAACTTCAGTTTCAGATTAACTCTATTGACCGACCTTAAAACATAAAAAATTAACCAATGAAGAATCAATGCCTTTTCCTATAATGCAGGCCCAAGATTTTGACAACCCTCAATGTTCAAAACATCGCCATTGAAAGTAATTAAATTTAATTTCGGTATAAACAGCTAAAAAGAACTGACAAGAGGCCACTAAACGTTAAAAATGACATAACAGCAGCTTTTATCTATGGAAGAAATCTAAGTCTCCTTTTACCAATTAAAAAAAACCCAACAACATGAATTTGGATTTAAATTCAGGATAAGAGTCATACTAGAGAAATGTTGAACATTTTCAAAGTAGATTTTTTTCAACTTTCCAATGTTTTTTTTTCCTGATTCTTACTGCAACTAGAAACTTCTTGAGAGCTTCTTGAGTATCAGAAAACACTATATTTAATTTTCAATTTTCAATGAGTCATTCAGTGCAATAATGCCTTCTTTTCTGAAAAGGCTGAAAAATATAATACTCTTTCTAGATTATGTTTTTTAGTCTATCGGGAACTTTCAGAGGAGAAATTGCTTTTTTGATATCACTGATAGCTCCTTCTTCAATAAAAATGGAACTCGTAAATTTATTTACATGGTCATTGGTCATTTGCAAAATTATTTTGTTAAAACAGATTCTGATTGCACACACAAATACTCTGAAGTTGACATCAAGAAGATGCTTGAGTTTCTGATTGACAATATCTATGTGGTTTTTGGAGACCATGTCTTCCAACAATCTATTGGAATTCCCATGTGTACCAATTGCGCTCCGTTATTAGCAGACCTATTTTTGTATTTATATGAAACAGAATTTATGCAAAATCTTATGCGTGAAAAGAAGAAAACACTTGCTGTGGCCTTCAACTCGACTTTCAGATACATCGATGACGCATTGTCAATCAACAATGATACGATATATCCAGGAGAGCTTGAGATTAAAGACACGACAGAGTCTGACACATCTGTTTCATACTTGGATATTTTACTTGAAGAAGACGTTAATGGTAACATAACAACCAAGCTATATGATAAACGTGATGACTTTAACTTTTCTATCGTCAACTTCCCTTACTTATGCAGCAATATACTTTCATCACCTGCATACGGAGTGTATATATCTCAGTTGGTTCGATACGCAAGAGCATGCTCTACGTATGAACAATTTCTAAAACGACGTTAATAATTGACAAGCAAGTTGATGAAACAAGAATATCAACAGTCTCGCTTAAAGTCATCATTTCATAAGTTCTATGGTCGATACAATGACCTTGTCAGCAAATACACAATTTATCATTGAGCCAAATGCTGACTGACGTTTTTCATACCAATTGTTAGTCCATTATTTATACACTAAATTGACTACGGATTTTTCCGTTATTTCCTGATCATGACAAGGAGCACACGGCGGGTGTGACCGGTCAGCAGGGATGCTCACTCCTCCATGGCACCTGATCCCACCTCTGATGTTTCGGAGTTCCGTGTTTGCTCTGCTCTTATTTTGTATTATTTTATGGACTTCGAGATTGAATACTGTTCGTTATCTACATTACCTTCTGTCATGTTTCGTCAAAACTACAAATGAGATCATTATACTAACATAAAATAATTTTGCATTAAATTATGATCAGTTTATTTTGATATACATGCAAAATTTTTAACAAGCATTTAAAATGCGCGATATGAAATATTATCATATATAAAGTTACAGATTTTGTCAAATTTGCATAAATAATGTGTTAGTTGAAGCTCATAATTTAATCGAATCAATATGATGTCATGCAAAATAGTTAATTTAAAATTAAAAAAAAACTATTTAAAACAATATATAGATAAAATAAATATTATCTTTGACATTGCATTACTTTAAGCATACCATAAAAACAAGGACAATATAAATATGTGGAAAGATATAAATAATTCATATATCCTATCATATAGTTTATTGTAATATTAAATCAAAATTGGGTAGAATAGAAAAATGACAGGAATTATTAACAATAGCTTTGTTCCAAATTTGATTATTTGAAATGCGTTCGTTTCTTTTATTCCATTTCATTATCGAAATATATTTTTGTGAAATGGAATATTTTTCTTATGATTATGTCCATCAAATTTTAAAAATTTGAGGGACTAATTTGAAAAAAAACAACTTAAAAGACCACTAGCATGATAAGAAAGTCAATTCTTTAAAATGTGATAGCACTACAATCATCTGTATACAATATTCAATAAGTATTTTTTTTCCTTCCTATCAATGCATTTTTTTATTGCCATCTACATAACTGTATTCCTTAGATATGGTAAAACTTCTGCTTAATGTTATTTCGTTATTTATAGGGAACTGTGAGGTCATTATTTACAAAGACATGGTAGGTTTCAACATAACAGAAATGTAAGGGTAAAGTTTTAAAAGTATTATAGTTTCAAAGTAAAGTACTACCGCCCGGTATACTTTCATACTTTTAAGTGCAAAGGTGTATAAACTACATGTAGTAAGTTTACTCACATAACCCATATTTCATTTTGTTAAAAAAAATTGTCCACAGGTCCACAGTTTTTAGCAGAATGCATTTGTTTTAGGATTTTGATTGTCTCTCTTCTGTGTGTCAGTTGTTTGACTTTTTAAAAAAGAAGATCGAAGTTAAAAGAACAGCTCCGATTGTTGTAGCGTAGTTTAACATAGTTCTAATAGTTCCGGGCACCTTATAATACGAACCATTGTTTGCAGCTACATTTTTATCTATCATATCTAGCAAACATCGAACTTGTTGATTTTTTTCTTCCTCGGAGGCAAAGTTGTTGAAAAATATGCATCTGTTTTCACAACGGTTTAAGATTTCCTGCAATTCATCTTCATTTTCATTCAAATATTTTTCTTCGTTCTTTTCGACTTTGATAAGATCATCCTTTCCAGTGAAAAGAACAATGGAATATTTGTACATTTCCTTGCCGAAGCACCTAACAAACGTTTCTACAGCTTTCTTTTCTTCTGGGGTGAATCTGCTTCGACCATTAAAAACAAGAATGAAAACATGCGGACCTGGGGCAGAAAGCAAGATGCACTTTTTCAATTCTTCCATAATGCTATCATTCGGAGTATCGGTATCAAATACGCCAGGTGTGTCCACAACAAGGACATCTCTACCGAATCTATTCACAGTATGAGACTGGCATTTTTTGGTTACTGAGCTGCCACCAAGACCTGTAGTAAATTTTTTATCCCCATTTAGAATCGTATTTCCCGTGGAACTCTTCCCGCTTCCAGTTTTACCAAGAAGAACCATTCGAATTTTTCGTTGGTCCTCTTCTAAAGAAAGAAATATAATTATGTATGTATTTGTGATTCTACTTTTCAGAGTTCCCAGTTCGTCTCAGAATACACTTTTTCAGTGAATTATTGGTTTTTATTAAGATAATATTTTTTTTCAAATTGCGTACTTACCGCGAGATGCCATTTTCCTGTAATAAGAATATTTCCATGAATTTTTACTCTTCGTAAATTCTCTTTACAGAATATCAGACACAAAAGAAATATTCTTGAAATTCAAAATGTCCTCTGAGAGAGAGAGAGAGAGAGAGAGAGAGAGAGAGAGAGAGAGAGAGAGAGAGAGAATGAGGTATTTTCAATACCCTTTCGATCTAAAACACGATTTATCTCAAATATTTATGAGGTGTCGTTTTGGTATTTACTGGCAAAAAGTTATATCTCCTATTTGAATAGGTGATATCACTTATTCGAATAGGTGAAATCACCTATTCGAATTGGTGGTATCACTTTTTCATATTCAATAGGTGATATCACCTATTCGAAAAGGTGATATCACCTATTTGAATAGGCGATATTACCTATTCGAATAAGTGATATCACCTATTCGTGCTGAAAAGGTGATATCACCTATTCAATTTTAATTGGTGATATCACCAATTTGAATAGGTGATATCACCTGTTTGAATTTCTTACAACATTAAATAATGAATATTCCCTATAATAAACAGATTTCCATCGGAACCAAGAAAATTCGGACTACCCAGTTTTCATGCGTTTTTCCAATTTTTCTTTCATGATAAATAAGTTAATTAATATGTGAGCAAAACAAACTACAATTTCTATTGGGGTTGATTAAAATTAAAAGCAAAACTTTAATCTGTTGTCTCCTGAATTATGAGTTATAAAACGAAAGTGAAAGTAAATAAAATTAAGGAACCCAACGTCTTGGGAGCTGTTGTTATTTCAAAAATAATTTGAATAGGTGATATCACCTATTCGAAAAAGTGATATCACCTATTCATGCTGAATATGTGATATCACCTATTCAAATAATTGATATCACCTATTCGAATAAGTGATATCACCAAAAATCAAATTGAATAGGTGATATCACTTACTCATTTCCAATAGGTGATATCACAAATACGAATAGGTGATATCACCTATTCGAATAAGTGATATCACCTTTTCGAATAGATGATATCACCAATTTAAATCAAATAGGTGATATCACTTATTCGAATAGGTGATATCACCTATTCAGCACAAATAGGTGATATCACCTATTCGAATAAGTGATATCACCTTTTTGAATAGATGTTATCACCAATTAAAATCAAATAGGTGATATCACATATTCGAAAAGGTGATATCACTTATTCGAATAGCTGATATCACCTATTCAAATAGGTGATATCACCTATTCAAATTTGAATATCACCTATTCAAAACCTGAATATCACCTATTCAATTGGTGATATCACCTATTCGAATAGGTGATATCATTTTTGGCAGTAAATACTAAAACGGCGCCCCATAGATATTACACTTCAATTGTTGACGGTAGAGCCGTGCTTTTAAAAATTTCTGTCAAACTAAGATTTTAAAATATGTCAATATATTAAGTAAGTCGTAAACTAACTTAAACATCCATAAAATACACACCTTTGAGGGTTTATTTTTAAATAACCTAGCTGTCTCAGAGTATATACCTTTCAAAATTCAACAGCCAAAATTTACAAAGAGAAGTATATTCTCAAATTTTCATTTGTTATGCACAAAATAACAACACATTTATTTGAAAACTTATGAAAATTAAAAGGAGTCGTTTGCAAAGAGAATACCGGTATTTGAAAATTTCACTGCAAATCGTTAACAAATTGATGTGAATATGTCCAGGTCCATCAGAAAACAAAATATCTTCATTTTATATAATTCAAAAATATATACTATATTTATGATATTTTTTCTTTAAAATTATTTAGAATCATATATAAGGTTGACAAAACATATACTTTATTATGGTTGACCACATAGTTTTAACAATACAACTTTTTGAACACGTATACGTACGAGGGTTGTCCCGTAAAATCGTGGACAAGTTGTCTAGTTTGAAAAATAATCATCACTGCGTTCTGAAATTTTCACCACTTTTTAGTAGATAAATTATGAATATACATAGCAAATTTCAAATAGATATATGCATAGCTAAACAAATTGTGAAATTTTATGTTATGTACTGTATCGCCCTACGGCGCACGGATGATAACGTCAAAGTGTCTAAAACAGCGTCACGTTTCATCTTTGCTAAACTTAAAGTTGGATAAGCCCCACTTAAATTTAGAATTTTTTATTGATTTACATATGTGAGTATCTGTAACCAATTAAGAAACCAATGTGGCACACTCATGCGATCTTCTGAATATTTATTAGCAAGTTACAGACAGTATTCTCACAATCATTCAACTAAAAGAGATTCTCGCATCGACGGTCGACAGTGACAGCGTCTTTTGCTATTACAAATGGCAGGCTGTCCAAATGTTTTGTACTATCTGGGGACTCGACCACGAAGACTTCACTAAGAAAACTTTCATTTCATTTATATACTAAAGATCTGGTGATATTTTCCCATTTTCTTTCTTCTGTATTCATTTAAAGTCTCTTAAGGCGTCATTACAGCATCCTAATCTATCTGAACTGCTCTCCGGTGCGCCGTAACGTCATAAAAAGACGCCATTTTTCGTATATTGTGTTTATTTCTTTCCCATTTCAAATGCTCGGGAAACTGCCAAAAATTAAACAAATGCCTTGAATATTTTAAAAAGACGACAGAATTGATTATGGAATGGAATAAGGATAATTTTCATCCTAATCTTATGTATTGAAAACTTTTATTACGAATAAATTCTTATGTCTTCTCTAATATAACCTTGCTATTTTTACCGTGCGCCGTAGGGCAATACCCTGTGCACATTCAAGCAGAATAAAATCTTTATTTTTGAATATATATTATAAAAAACATTATGATTCACTTAAATATGTTGAATAAACATTTGCTGAAAATTTCAGCTTAGTGCGCCCATTACTTTTCGAGAAAAACGCTTTGTCCACGATTTTATGGGACAACCCTCGTATACCCCCACTTTGGGAATATCAGGTTTTACAATAATTCTTTGGATTTTTTAAAGTTAAAATGTAAAAAGATAACAACTTGACATATCAAGATATATTTTTTTCTTTTTCTCTATTTAGCTTCCTTCGAATGGAGTAAAGCAATAAATAATTAACTCACCTGAAAAATACCTTTCTGCAAAACTGGAACAAACCAAACCAGTCTTTTTTTTAAATTTAAAAAAAAATAAGCTTTCAAGATTCACCAGAAATAAATAAATCAAAGTTGAAAAAACAACTTGTTCAATCCCAGACAAGTTAAAACTGAAAATCTAGTTAATATCTAAATAAAGAAATTAAAGAAGTAAGTCAAGGATAAGATAATATAGCAGTCCTGTCACTTCATACGTAAAATACATAATTAAATGAAGTTCAGAATATCCGATATCTCTAAATGTCACTTGTCATTGGACTTTTGTTTGAATAGGTTTTGATTCAAGACATGTATTTAAATGCCCTAAATTGATTGAAGTTATGTGCTTTAATCAGTCATCCATATAGCACATAGTAGGTTGCAATGGTGCAATATTGATAATTAAATATGCATGCTTACACCAGAATTCGATAAAGATGAAATGCATGCATCTCATTTTATTTAATAAGTTCATTTTTTTTCGTTGTCATACTGAAAATTAAATGGAACCCCCCTTATCTCTAGTTTTTTTTTTCTTTCTCTCTCTCTCTCTCTCTCTCTTTGTTTTTGTTTTTTTTTTTTTTCGGTGACACGAACTTTCATTACATTTTCGAAATATGCAAGAAAGTATGGAGTTTAACATGTTATAAGATATACATTGTACCAGGGTATCCTACAAAAATAATGCCTGACACAAGTGATAATATTAGTTCATAAAATACAAATTTTGAACATTTATTCCAAGCCCAACGTTTAAATAAAACTAAAGACAATTCTAAACCGTTTTAAACTGGCAGGTCCTCAACAAGTAGTACTAGTGATTAAAGAAAATTATATCTACAGATATTAGAAGGTTTCACCTTAAATCTTATACAATTTCTGTAGAACGGCCTTTCTTTGTCCACACTTTTTAAAAGCTAATGACGTATGTCACACATACAAAATAGTTCCTCGGTTACTTAAATAAGCAGCATGTTGTTGCAAAGGACAGGTAGATCAATGAAAATGACAATTTTTTACTCTAAAAATATACTTTGTACCAAATAAAATGATCGAAGTGTATGTTATAAAGAAGTGTACAAATTGTTTTTTTTTTCTCTGCAAAGGAAAATTTTGGGGAGCATTAGATTGAAGCCTTTATAATATTGGAACCATGCTTGATTTTTTTTTTATCATTTCTGATAGCAGCGTTCCAAAAGATAAATAAATAATTTCGCCAGGAAATATATAAAAGCTTTTGGAGCAAATAAAAATTTCGAAAGTATCAAAAAATTAGGCTTTATATACTAACTCCCTATGATATCTTAAATAAAGTAAAAATACAAAACTGTAATATCCACACGACTTATTTTACGTCGGAAGTGCTATAAACAATCAACAAAATATGAAACAAAATAAAGTTAAGTAGGCTAATGAGGGATCAAAAAATTAGTTTAGCGTTCAGTAACAAGACATAAAGAATACATGTATGTACACCATTTTAAATGTCTATACTTGTTTGTGCCAATTACATAAAATTTGCCACTATCACTATGTATAGAGTAAACAAAACTACACATATATTCTTTTTGCCGACAAAGTCCATGTATCGACCATTACGTTTTAAAAATGATGACTTTAAAACAAGCTTGTTGATTTTTGATTCATAAATTTGTTTGTCAGTAATGTATCTCGTTTTAAAAATTGTTCAAAATACTACCTAAGCCTAAGCTCATTTAGGCATCAAAATTTTGTTTAGTCTATATAGAGATAGCGTCAACCTTACGAAATGAGGAATGTTGATATTCTTGTTTCATCAACTTATTTGTCATTGACTTATCTCATGCTCTTATTATGCTTGTATCGAATCAAATTAGATATACAAGTAGAGCTTTTCTAAAAAGCTTACCGTCTTTAGCAAC